TGAAGCAGAAGAGGTCTGCAGGTGGGCCCCCAGGGCATCAAGAAGTTGAGGCTTTGCTGGGGAGGAGGGGGTTGGGAGGGATGTGGTGGAGTAGGGGGAGCTTTGGTCCAGAATTTAAGCTGCAGGCATGGAAATTGTTTGGATGGTATTATCATGGTTGTCTTCCTCCAGCTCCAGCTGCCACAGCCCACAGCGTGAGGAGCAGGGGAATGGAAGTTTCTGCCTGACCCTGTCTGATTCCAGCCCAGCTGCCCTCCTCTTTCTGGCCTCTGCACTCCCTCCTGAGCTGACCACAGCTGCTTCTTTTCCCAACCAATAAAGTGACCGCTTCCAGCACTGGTGGAACTGTGGCCTCTGTTCCTATCACTCTGACCCATTGCCCCCGTGACTTGGGGTTGAGGTGGGGGGTTGGGGGTGGAAAGAGGCGACCAGATCATCCAGGCACCAGCTCTGGGGAGAGTTCATCTCTGACAAAGTGAACATACATTCAGGGCTCAACTGGTGGGCAGTAGCAGGTGAATCCGCCCACCAGCCTTGTGCAGTTGTTGGTTATTCTCCCGGGGTGATGGAAGAGAGAACTGGGGCTCAGAGAGATGGTGGAATCTTTCCAAAGTTGCTGGGATTCATTGCTGGGGCTTCTGCTGACAGCAGCAGCACGTACTGTGTGCCGGATGTGGGGCTGGGAGATTAGCGTGGGAGATCTGTGTCCGCAAAACCACTCTTGGGATAACTGATGACCCTCAGAGTAGCTGATGACAGTTACACGTTACAGGCTGGGACCCCACCAAGTTACTTGCTTAGGGCCACACAGAAAGAAGGTGGCAAAACCAGGGTCCTTTGTTGTAGTTGTTTTTTAAATCAAACCATTATTTTGTATAAATAACATTCACGTGGACCAAAATTCAAAAGGTGAAAGAATACAAGACGAAAACATCTTCCACGCTTGACACTCTGCCTCCACCCGCAGCCACTCTGTTAATTTCTGTGGAGACGACCGATGCTGTCCATTTCTTGTGTCTTCTTTCCAAGACTGCGCTCCAGCTCCCTCCCTCTCTTCTCTTCTTTGTATCCCCTCTCCTTAGCCCCCCTATTTATCCCTTCTTTCTATACCTATTTTCAAATTCTCATCCATCTCAACTATGTTCAATATCTTGTAATAACCTTTAATGAAAAAGAATATGAAAACGGATATATGTATGTATATGCGTGACTGGGACATCGTGCTGTACACCAGAAATTGACACACTGTAACTGACTATACTTCAATTAAAAAAAAGAAAATTAAAAAAATTCTCATCTATCTCACCTTTTTACATGAATCGTAGTACACTGCACACGTTGTGTCATATTTTGCTGTTTTCGAACTCAATATATCTTGAAGATCACTCAGAGCATAAAGAATTTCTTCATTCTTTCTTGGATGTATAATGTTCCATTGTTTGAATGTACAAAATTGATTTAACCACAATTACACGGGTGACTTCAGATTGCTTTCAACCTTTCACAGGCCTAGATTTAAAAAAACAATTTTTCAAAATTTATTTTTAGAATATGTTTATTTTTATTGAAGTCTAGTCAGTTTACAATGTGGTGTCAATTTCTGGTGTACAGAATGTTTCAGTCCTACACATACATACATATATTCATTTTCATATTCTTTTTTGTTATAGGTTACTGTAAGATACTGAATATAGGTCCCTGTGCTAGACAATAGATATTTGTTGTTTATCGATTTTATATATAGTAAGTAGCATCTACCAATCTCGAGCTCCCAATTTATCCCTCCCCCTCTTCCCCCTTGGTAACCTTAAGTTTGTTTTAAAAGTCTGTGATTCTATTTCTGTTTTGTAAATAAGTTCATTTGTGTCTTTTTTTTAAGATTCCACATATAAGTGATCTCATATGGCATTTTTCTTTCTCTTTCTGGCTTACTTCACTTAGAATGACGATCTCCATTTTTTTATGGCTGAGTAGTATTTACAGGCCTAGATTTGAACCTGAGTCATCTGTCAACACCAGTGTCCCAGGCTGGTTCTACTGCAGTGATTTCTCACTTTAATCCCTGCGGGGTGGACCTAGCCTCTGGGGTGAGGAGGAGGTAGAGCAAGGAAGTCCTGGCAGTGACTCTGGCCCCCCAGGACATGGTTTATGCCCTTCCCTGTTCCTCCACCCACCGTGGAATGTGAAAGATTAGGGTAGCTTGAGTGGGGTTGTCTGGAGGGAGAAAGCTTGGTGGCCTGGAGTTTGGCCAGCTTTATCTTTCTCATCCTCTGCTGGTTCCCTGCCCCTAGACCTTGAGCCAGGCAAGAACCAAGGGCTTCTCCATCCATCCCCCTGGGGATACAGGTGGGCGAGTCTCCTGGATGGGAGTGCGGGTGCTCAGTGCATAACGCTACTCTTAGCCATAGATGGCAGCAGAGCTTTTCTCCTAGCTTTCCTTTTTCTGGTTTCTACCTCTGTCCTCTGCTTTCCGCTTCAGTCTCCCCAGCCCTTCCAGGCAGAAAAACAAAAGGCATCCTCCAGTGATGGGCTGGGTAGATATGTTGGGGAATAAATGTGTGGCTACCACCACCTCCACTGCCTGCTTTCCCCGTGTTTGCATTCTGAAAGAGAGCCCTGGGGCAGGGCGTGTCTAACTCTGGGAAGGCAGAGGTATGCCTTTTGTATGCCTGCCATTGTTTTGTCCCTCAGCACCCAAACCACAAAACAGTATTACTCGCTTGGCTCCTTTCCAAGAGCCCACGTGTGCCCACAGACTCTTGATGGGCTAGTTCTTTGTAGCCGAAGCACAGCAATGCTGTTTTGTCTGGGAGGGTGGCTCCCAGGGCTGGGAACGCTGGTAAACTGCTGCCCCCTGGAGCTCAGGACTGGGTCTCTTCCTCCACTCACCTTCTCCCATTTCCAGTAGCCCACTGCTTTGCTGTTTCCTCTAAACCCCGTCCCCAGTCCAGAGGGCTGTGTGTGGTAATACCTGTGTAGAGCAGACATCTGTTCTGCAGGAAAGTGCAGGTTGGAGGTTGGAGGGCTAATAGGAGGTTACGTAGGAGTGAGCCGGAACTTAGATGAAATTCTAGACAGACCAGTAGAAGACAACCCAGCCCGAGGAATAAGCAGAGGCATTCACTCATTCAGTAAATATTTATTGAGCACCTACTGTTCTGGTTTGGGGGAGGGGATTTGACATCAAGGAGGTGTAAGGGGTGTGTGTGTGTGTGCGCGTGTGTGTGGTGTATAGGGTTGGGGGAAGAGTCAATAAACGAGTGAATCAACATATGTGTAACATATCAGGTGGTGGAAAGATTACGGCGAACTCTAAAGCTGGGTAAGAGGACTAGTGGGTCCAGGGGATGAGATAGAGGTGGGGTTGATGGTGAGAAGGAAAAGACAGGCTCGGCTAACAAGCTAACTTGTAAATCTAACTGTAACAAGTGTCGGTTTGCTGATTCCCTGCTCTTTTTTTTTTTTTTTTTTGTCTGGCCAGCTGGATTTTCAAAGAGACGTATCTGGCCTTGAAATGTTGGTTTGCTGCCTCCCTGCCTCTACTTCTGTGATAATGATGCTGCTAAAGCTGTTCCATGCCTACTGGCCGAATACCCCAAGCTTGTAATTAACTCTGTAAAACCTCATGTACACGTCTTGGAGGTGCTCAGAACTTCAGAGCAGAAGCCCCTCTGAGCCCCCCGGTGTAATAAATCTGAGTACTCCAACCCTCCGAGTGGTGCTTGTTTCTTGGCTGGCCTGTCGTTTCCGTAACAGTGGCTTTGAAGAGGGTTTTCAGGGGAGAGCTTTTTTAAGGTAACATTCAAATCATGAGCTAAGTGCAGACAGAGATGATCCACGTAAAATCCATGGGCAGAGCTGTCCAGACCAAGGTCAGAGTGTCCTCTGGGGGCTGGAGGTGATGCATGGTGAGAAGCACGAGGGGAGATGAGGTTGGAGAGGTAATGTGGGCACAGATCCGAACAGTCCTGTGGTCACTCAAGGACTTTGCCTTTTATTGTGAGGAATTTAGGAGGAGTTTGGGCAGAGTGCTGACATCATCTGACTTACATTCGAAAAAGATCCCTCTGGCTGTTACATTAAGAATAGACTCTGGGGGTGATGTGGAAGCGGGGAGAGCATTTAGCCTATCCAGCAGGGCATGGAAGAAATGACTTTGTGTGGCCTCTTCATCTGCTAGTACCAGGCCCCCAAACTGGCAGCCCTAATGCACCTGCAATTTGGGCTGGACCAGCTGTGATGGTTCTGCATGTCCTGTCCATTGATGCAGCTTTAGGAAATTAGCTGGTGAAATAATCATCTTGCAAACACAATGAATACTCCCCTTCCTGCCCCCGTTGATAATTCGTGGGGAAAGTGAGAGGGTGAGGAAGACATGAAAACAGCAATGGCTGAAACACGCTAGCCCGCCATTCAGTGGGGCAATCTGTTGGCGAGGCTCTGGTTTGTTTAGCTATGAAAGGTGGCACTTGGCGGGGGCTGCAGCATCCTTCTCAGTCACAGAACAGCGTAGCATCAGTGGGTCCTGCCTGCAGAGCACAGAGGTCCTAGACACAGAAGTCTTCGTATGTCCCCCGCCCCACACCCTGGGGCTGGGATATCAACCCCAAGGAAGCCCAGGGTCCAGCCAGAATTAAACCTACTGGGGTGAGTTCATTCCAGAAAAAGATGGGACCTTCTAGAGCTACCGGACCCCCATGGTTTGTAGCCCTCACATCTTGAACACCACTCGGGAGATTTTTCACCAAGTGAACGGTCCAACACCTGTGGTTTACTATGGGTCAGGCTTAAGTTTAAGATTATGGTTGAGATCTCACCAAGGGAATAAACAACGGAAGGCAGCTGCCCTTGGCTGTCAATCTCAGAATAACAATCCTCCCTAATGAAGGGTTGGGGGTCCACTCTGCAGGCCAAGCTCCAAGTGGTGCCCACAGGACCTCCTTAGCCAACCTCCAGGGAACAATCGACATAGACTCATGGGTAGACACCTGGTAGGCTGAGTGATTTGGAGGGTAGAATTTTTTAGATTGGCTCACTCATGAACTCTGTTATAGGGCCAGAGACTCTGGTTAGAAGGAGTATAAACTTTTCAACAGATTAATGTCTGACTTAGGCATGTGCATGCTTATCACAAGGACCGTTCTCGTTGGTCTCAGGGAATTCTGCTCAGCTGTTGTACGCATGTAGATTTGCCCTGTTATTTCTTTTCCATTTGCCTACAGTTTCATGGGATGCTCAGTCCCACACTCCTGGTAATTCTGATGTGATTGGGGTGATTTATTCTTGACCTTTTTTCTTTTTCAAGCTTTATTTTATTCTTTTCTTTCAACTTTTAACTCTGACAT